ATACAAATATGAAGGACAAACAGGAATCACTTATGCGTAAGACTAATTGATTTTAAGAGCCCAATATAGCATCTTTCTACTCACATCAACGCAATTAAATATTAAATGCATAAGAGCAAATATAGAGATTAACAAACAGGTACTTGCTAAAATTCACAAGATAACTCTGATGATCTAAGCAATCGGAAAATGCCGTCCAAGTTGCACAGAACTAAGGAAGGAGAGGTCTAGGAAACAAGTGCATAGGGTTTCAAAGGGAACATACGCATTTTGAAACAGAGAAAGTAGACTAAGTTAAGCATCACTACGATCATCACCATCACTGTCATGTTGAGCTTTACCTGCAGCAGCCGGAAAAATGCGAAAGCCAGGAAGAGCATTGCGTCGCCGAGTCCTGGAGGGGAGGATATTGTCCAAGTCAACCTCTGCAAGAGGGTCGTCAGAGAGACTCTCGCTGTCCGTACCTGATTCGCTTTCAAATGAACTGGAATCAGATTCAGAATCATCAAATGATTCCTCAATCAATTTCCCTTTCCCCTTGTAGTTACTCGCTATTGCCTTCCCTTTTCGGTCGTTTTCAGCCTCTCCACTAGAAAACTCGTCATCAACCTCGGCTTCCTCTCCAGCCTGGTAGTCCTCTTCGTCGTCCTCGTCTTCTTCATCATTTACGGTACAGAAAACGCCAGAAACAGATTTTTCGGCGATCAATTTGACATCGGGGTTTGAAGAGACAACGCCGGCAACAAATTTTTCGTGTTTGGCCTTCTTGCTAGAGTCGTCATTTAGGCTTTCAGTAGTAACTATGTCTAGAAGGTCTGTGTCGGGTTTCCTTTTCACGGGTAACGCGCATTCTTCTTCATCGTTTCGTGCTTCCACCATCTCTATCTCTTCTTCGTTCCAACTTCCAATTAGGGTCTGGGACTCTGGCTACTGTTTATACCGCTGCCCCAAATTATATCCAATTACAAAATGAGTAAATTACTCAAATAGGACCAATAGAAGGGTCATTTCCCAAAATAGGAGTAGTCCTATTTCCGTCCACGTGGCACAGAGTAAAAAGACTTGTTTGTCCTCCAAATTAGTCTTTAATGAAAAAAAACAAAAGGGAAAATATGCGCTGTTTTACGGAGAAGCGTGAAAGTGAAGGCGCAATAGACGCCGTAGGTGATACGCTGCGCAGCGGGAATTTCCATGTGTGTCTCTACTTCTACTGCATGCGGATTTCTCTGCGTATTGTGGAATAGATTTAGGATTTCGTCAATAACAGTTACAGCATTATCAATTTGAAGTAAAATAGAAGACAGCATGACGACGAGGAGCAGTGCAGCGAAGAAAATGGCGACCAGAGTCCCGGTAGATGACGATGATGATTTCGTGGACAAGATTCCAATAATAAAGACCATGAATCTAGTGAAAACCACCACGGGGCGAGTAAGTACTTAATGTCTAATGCATAGTGTTTTCTTCTGTTCTAATGTCTGAACTAAGGTGGAAGTATACAGCCGTGCATATGTGTTGTTTGTGAAAATGTCTGTGGTGATGCAATGACTTGTACTGCTATTTGTTAATTGTGTATGTTAGCTTCTTGTGAAAGAAGATCAAGAAATTAAGTTTTGATTGAATTTTAAAGACTTCCTAGTGCTGTAGTTAATGACTTTATACGAATAAAGTTTTCGACTGGTGGCCATTAGACTGTTTCAAAAATTAGTAATTAAATCCTGGCTTTTAAAGACTTCTTATTGAATATATTTTCGAGACTTTGGGATGTCTAATTTCACTGATTTTAGCCTGACAGTAGTGTTTGTGGTTGTGGGGATTATTCGATGGAATTTGGTAGTAAGGTTTAAAAGATTTAAAGAAGTGGTTATAACGACTTGGTAGTGGTTGTAGAGCCCAAAGATAGCATGATGATAAGGCTAAATAGTTATTACTGTTTGGAATTAGGACTCAAGTTTTTTTCTTGCAGTTTAAAGACCTCTGATACTTTGAAAATTTTTTACTTGAAGTTTTAAATTCTTTGGATAGTTGTTTAATGACTTATTATTTTGTTAAGAATTTGGTTTTTAAAGTGCTTAATGTGGAACTAGTGTTACAGACTTTGTATGGAAGATGTTGTTTGTGTGGATCAATTGGTTGTTACTGTTAAATTTGTAGAGCCCATAGATGGCATGATATAAGGGATAAAGAGTAATTACTGTTTGGATTGAGGATTAATGACTTGTTTTACTTGCATCTTAAAGACTTCTTGCTGGTTTTAATACTTATTTTTTAAGTTTGTAATTCTTGGGATAGATGTTTAATGACTTATTAGTATGTTCAGAATATGGTTTATAATGTGGTTAATGTGGTACTAGTCCTTAATGCCCTTTTTATGGAATATGCTGATTTTTGGGGATCGGTTGGTTATTACTGCTAAATTGAGAATAACATTTTAGTGGTATGTGCGCATCTCTGAGAGAGAGGTTTGTGTGTTTATGATGTTTTTTTTGGATAATTTACAAATGCAGGTCTACAAAAGGTTGTGTGATGAAGAGATTTTGGTTGGGAAAACACGACTTAAGGTCACTTGTTTTTGTAATCTTTGTGTGGGTTCAACTACTGTTAAAGGTGTGGTTAGTGCTTCAGAGATGGCTGAACTGAAGGCTTCTGCATTTGGTATTTTCTTCAAACTTGGGAAGATAAAGTGGGTGAATGGTCAATTGTTGATTTTATTAGCTTTAAATCATGTGGAGCCCATTAAGAAGAGTGGAGAGGTAGATAGACTAAAGTTGCACATTGGAGATAGGATAGTGGAGTTTAAGAAGACGGATTTTGCATTGATTACTGGGTTGAAGTTTGGAAGGGAGAGTCAGTTTGAAGATACTGACCTGGAAAAGGCAAACGACATCAGTACAAGGTATTTCAATGGGAAAATGAGCGTGAGCCGTAAAGAAGTGGAAAATGTGTTCAAAGGTATCGGGAATGGAAGAGATAAGGGACAGTTGGATGCTGTAAAATTGGCTTTACTGAACATCATTGTAAACCATGTGGTGGGTAACCAAGGTTTGACAAAGATTCCAGCACTGTACATGCATCTTGTGGACGACCTCGACTGATTCAATGAGTTCCAGTGGGGGGAGCATCTGTGGAATGACATGGTGGAAAGCTTACGCAAATGTTCATCAATACTCAACACAGGAGAACATTGCCGGTTTACGTTCCCCGGCTTCCTATTTCCACTACAGGTTTGGGCGTTTGAGACTTTCCTGTCTTTGAAAGAAAATGAAATTTGCGTTACGGGAGAAGACAGGAGCGGATTGTGGTCAAGGGCATTACGATGGGAGACAGGGGTGCGCCCAATGCATGACCTGCTGGAGGGTTCTATTTTCGGCACGGAAGAGGTGAAACATATTCCTTTCCAGTCAAATACGTTAATGCTTTAGTATAATTTGAAAGTAACTCACATTAATTTATTCACTGCAGGAAAGTGTTCAATGGAATGAGATGGTTGCCACGACATCGGAGAAAGAAATAGAGAACATTGCAATGTTATTCTCTGTTGGAGATTCAAGGAAAGGTAAGGGTATCAATGGCGGTGGTGAGCGCGTCGATGAAGCGTATGGGGCTGGTTGAAGAAAACTTAAAGGAAAGCTGCATTGGGGATGTGTGGGCTCAGTGAATCATGAGGAGATTAATGTTCAGCGAAAGGGGAAAGGAAAGGTTGTGATTCGGAAGAAGGCACAGGTGAAGAAGATGGAGAAGAAGACGGAGAGGTCAGGCAACGGTACTCCAAGAGGGACAGCAAAGAAAGAGAAAAATGTTTTGGGAGACGCTCGTGAGAATGAACCTTCCTTGAGAGATATAATGACAACATTAGTGCTTATGGAAAAGCGAAACTTGAAGATGCGCATGGAAGTTACTAAGTTGAGAATTGCAGTAAATGCCCACACCCGTCTTCTGAATGGGTATATATCGAGGAAGAGAACTGGTAAGCGATGGCATACGAGTAAAAAGCACACAACCGAGGATAACAACATACCTAGCTTTGATTTAGGATTTGAGAGTCAATGGAAGAATGATGCCACAGAACATGATGTGTCCGATGATGTTTGGGAGGAGGATCTGAATGTGGAAGCTGAGATTGGGACCCAACCGGGTTCGTGTGGTAATGACCTTCAGGATCCGTTGAATGACATTAGTACACAAGAAGTTGAGGGCAGATGGTTGAAGACATTACATAAATTGGGGCTCGGGAAACAATCTGAGAAAAGTGTGGAGAATCAGGAGTGCGAAAAGGGCTCGACGAGTATGGTTAAAGACGGCATGCAGTCGGGCGAAGAGGGCAAGGACGTGGTTGTTGAGGATGTTCCATGTACTGGTGTGGACGAACCCAAAGAAGCATCACCAATGATTGTAGAAGTGTCTGCTTCTGATATGAATGGTCAGGAAAATGTAAGTAATTAAAAGTAATTGAATTTTAGGCATGCAAATAATACAAGACTATTAATCGATACATATTTGACATAATGACCTTTGTAGGAAATTGAAGTAGATGTTGCAGGATTCACCGACAAGGTCGAGACCGCATCGCAAGTAATAGAGGTTAATGCTGTAACATTCTTTAATCTGATATGAGTTGTTTTCAATATCTATGCTTTTAAACTTTGTGTTATGTATGAAGGAATTGCAGGAGTTACCCGAGGATGCAATTTTTTTCCCAACCGCGGAGAACCTGGATGAGAAAGAAAAGAATCCAAAGGATGTGGTGAGTTTGAGTGTTACGTTAATGTCCGTGTTGCATAGAAATGGATGGTTGTGTTAATGAACTGGTAAGTGGAAGTGGATGTTTTGTCTGAACAAAACTGGTGTTGCAAATAAGCTGTTAAAATGAGGTAAACTCTAGGTACTAGACGGCTTCTAGAATAATAATGACCATACGTATTAGGTTGGGAAAAGCATGCTAATGACCAAAATTAAGGGACTGAAGTAGGGACAGTGGACTTAAGCTCTCCCATCTTAAGTTTTATATTAATGACCAAAGATGAGTGCGTATGGCTGTGCCTGCTGAATTAATGACCAATGCACATAGAGAGGAATGCAGGCTTAATGCCTTCAAAGGAAGAAGCATGTAACAACGTAGGGTAAAATATATTGATTTCCATAGTTTTAATGACCTGTAATACATGTGTGGTGCATTAAACGTATTTTAGCTTGAATAAAGATGGCCGATATGGAACGTATTTAAAAAATGCAGGGTAAATGGAATGGGTTATTGGCTGTAATATGTAATTTACATACATTTGAATGACCGATGTTTATAATGCGCGATAATTTTTTTGGACAGGTGTTGGGGCCGGGTACTGGCTGTGATTTGCCAAGAGCCGTGTGTGAAGACGTTAACGATTCTGGAGATGATGATGAGGTGTTGAATGACGAACCATGTACACAGATTGTGGTATGTTTGTAGTGTAGAAATCTTGAATATCACTAATAACCGTTAGCCATTACCTTAATGAGGAATTATACTACACATTATCCCATCGTGTTAAAATTTTGAATGTTTCACAGGTGTATGAAGCACCGATGGTGAGTGAGGCACCGCCAGATTTGAAGTTAAAGCAAAAGAGGCCCTTTAAGTGTCCAGATCGGTTCACTGCTGATGATTTAGTTGTGCGACGTAAAACAAAAAGGGTGAGAACAGAGAGTGTTTGTGTAGTGCGATTTGGGGGGGATGAAGATGAGTTCATGGGTCCATTCCCATCAGACCCGAACGAGATGCCTGCTCAGGAGGAGTTAATGAAGGTTGAGAATTTCATATATCAAGGACTTTTAAAGAATCACTTGAGAGTATCGGGGCGCAAGTACAAGGCCCATGAGGATGTGCTTGACCAAAGTGAGTATAAGGAGCACTATGGCGAGGAAGACACGCTAACAAAGACCTGGTATTACAACATTTTTTTCCCTGGGGATGGCTTTCAGATAAGGTAAACATTAATTGAATTTCTGTAGTATGGTCGTAATATAACTTGGCGTACTATGACACTAATACACATGTTTTGGTTTTAAATGCAGCATCTAGATGTCATATTCTACTACCTTAGAATGAAGGGAGTAGAGTTTGGGTTGGAGCAGCGGTACATGACAACAGACACCCCATTTCTTGTATTGTTGAACACATTATGTGGGAGGTATATGAAGAAGGAACTAACCATTGAGCAAGCAACGCGTAATAGGTCAGTAAGAAGCACGATCATGGGAGGGAAGGTGGAATATGGTCTACCGTGGCAGAGTGCAGATTTTGTATACATGCCGCTGAATACTAGGAACCACTGGACATTGTTGGTGTTGGACATTAAGCAGAAATTAATTAGGACATATGACTCGAGCATCAGGAGGAGTGATTCAAAAAGGAAGATAGGTCCGTTTCTGCCATGCCTCCAAATGTTCCTGCCTAAGATAATGGATAGGTTGGGGGTGTATGACGGACGGGAGGAAGGTCCAGTTGGAGATGATGTCCTAGCGGTTGAAGCTGGAGCGTGCTACCCCCAACAGAACGACATGTATGATATAATTTGAGCTGTGTAATGTATTATGCTTTCCATGTTTAATAATTTTTTGGTTTTATTTTGGATTGACGTAGGTCAAGTTGTGGGATGTTCGTGGTGAAGATGGCTGAATTTCTGATGATGGGGTGTGATGTGGGGGATATGGATGATCATGAGATCGCTGAATACAGGAAGAAAATGACAGTGGAGTTGTTGGCATACTCTGCCGTCTACACCTGTTTTGTTTCTAATATGCATGTATTCAAAGACCTGTTTTGTTTCTAATATGCATGTATTATCGAGACCTCTGTTATTTTGAATTAAACATTCGAATTAGGTGGTTGTTTTTTGATAGATTTGTTGATGGTATTTGGCAAGTTATGGACGTGCATGGTTTGAAAAAATATTTAGGTTTGGTTTTTTTATTGAAGTACTTTGCATATTTAGGCAAAAGTATTGTTGTGGTGTTTACGTTCTAGGCACATGAGGAATGACTGGAAAGTTGTGTATATTTATTTGAGTATTGTATTGTTCATTACTGTTCGTAATGTTTTATAGATAGTTAGGGAAGCAAGTGGAGGATAGGGACTGGGTTTTTTCTGCATATATGTGGACATGCCATTAATGTCCTTAAATGGTGGTTTGTGGACATTAATGTCCTATTGTAGATTGTAATTTTTTTATTCTTAAATATTACCTAATAATGCCTAACGGGAGGTATAATGTACAGTGTTGGTTGACATGTACTTGGAAAACGACGAATAGGTAATGTACAATAATCATTCCTTGGGTAATTTTTAAAAATGATCATATGGTGAGGAAGTCATTATGCTTAGGTTTTATGTAAGCAAATATCCGTAATGTAAATGGTGGAATGACAAACGGCTAGCATAAAAAAGGAACAAAATGATTTAAAATGTATGTGTTAAATGAATTCATAAGGTGTAATACTATTAAATGCGATATTGTTTTGAAAAAATGAATGAATGAACGGTAAAACTAAACTACACAAATAAACGAATTAGAAAACAAATTTCTTGGTAATTTCTTGATATGGAGTCAAGCCCTAGTTAAAGTAATGGGATTAGTGCACGTCTTCCTATTGTGGCCCGTAGATTTGCATCGTGAGCAAGTTTGGCGCTTAGCATGTTCACCTTTGGACGGGATCCTTCGCTTCTTGGGCCTTCCTGGGGGACGTTTGTCACATGATGGTGGGTGGCAAACAACCTGTGCAACCTCATCGGGAACAACCCAAGATTCTTTAGATGGTATGGGGTGTATGATTCCAGAATATGTTGCTCTCCATGCAGTGGTGGTGTAAAAGGTTGAAACATAATCATAGCAAGACAAACCGCCTCGACAACGAGTGGCAGCCACAGCATGAACACACACAAATTGGTCCAACTGGAATTCGCAACAAGTGCACGTCCTGTTTTGAAAGTTCACCACAAAGGAACGACCATTCTTGTCAATGACAAGGAACTCGAAAGCACAAGCTGGCCTTACCTGGAAAGATAAAGCAACACCGTAAGCTCATAGATTATGAGTGAGTTATACTCTTAGGAGATGTGGTAAGAATAAGAGAGAATGCATGTGTACGTGACGTGCGGGTGTACCAAAAGAAAAGTGATATCATAAGGACGTAAAGGAGTGTGCGCCTTAAAAAATAGAGAAATTTACTGAAATAGGACTAAAACATAATGACTTTCCCAATATAGGACCATATGTTTTTATTTTCCAATGTAGGACTTTTTGTTAAATATATTCTATATTTAATGTAAATATATTGTTTCCTATTATTGTCTCCTACCTTGTATAGGATTAGGAATATATTGTTTCCTATTATTGACTCCTACCTTGTATAGGATTAGGAACCCTTGTGTATATATAGACATGTACTCCCACATATTCAATTAATGAAATTAACCTTTCTACACTTTTGGTCATTATCAAGTAGTCATTATTCAAGTAAATGTCCATCATTACTGGACATTATTTCTCCAACTAGGTCATTATTAAGTCCTATTTAGTGAATAAAAAAGTTTAAGTCCTACATTGGGAAAGTCATTATGTTTTAGTCCTATTTAGTGCAAATTTTACTAAAAAATAATGCCTAATGGAAACGTATAATAAGTAATGTGTTAATGACCTAAAACATAATGATCCTAAATGTGAAATGAAAGACCATGTACGCATGGTTAATGACTATTTGGTGACCTACTGACTTATGATAATGACCTTAAGTTATGTATAGCATATGTGCAGTTACTGACTTGGCATTACGTTCCATGAATAATGATCAAAAAAATCTGTTTAATGAATACAGTTAATTTAATAATGGCCAAGAGTATAGCCGACAGATGTGATCCTCATGTCTTCGAATTCAAATCATGTTAAAGCATGTACTGTAATATAGACATATGAAATACGATGGGGATGGTGACCTAATTCAGTTATGGAGAATATGTAAAACAATATCGCAAAAGAATAAAAGAATAAAACTTACTTCCATAACAGCTAAAGCGGAATGTAGTTCATTAAGCTCCGACTCCTAGAACTTTGTTAAAGTTGATGACGTGGAGTTCGCCAATTCCCTACGCTCGTGGAACCACCTTTGGGTCCTAGCCATTAGAAAATCAACAAGTTGTGAAATTGGGTATTCACATGGGACAACATCAACATTGTTCATGGACTCTGCAAGGTTAGAGGTCATTATAGAATAACGTTGATTCGAGCGTGATCTGGCCCACTTCTCTTTCCCGATTGCTTTGAGGTATCCAATAATCCTGGGGTCATCTCTGTCCAGATACTTCAAATATCGGTTGCACTCTGCTTCGGAAGCTGCCCTTGCAGCGCCATAAAACTTCCAATATAACAACTTTTCGGAGCCATGGAAATTACTCCTGATATTTCCAAATATGTGGAATATGCAATGGCCGTGTCCCGCTTTAGGGAAAACAGATTTAACTGCCTTGATAATTCCATCATGCCTGTCTGAGACAATATATTCCACACGACGGTGCTTGAGAGCTTGCCTAAATTTTGATAGAAACCAACACCAATTTGCATCGTTCTCGGCATCACACACACCAAAAGCTAGTGGGAATATTTGGTTATTCCCATCCCTCGTAACTGCAGTTAAAAGTGTCCCATTGTAATAGGATTTCATAAATGACCCATCGATAATTAGCACTGGAACACAGTGGGGCCAGCCTTCTCTCCAGGGTGCAAGAGAGATGAATAAATACTTGAACAAGTGGTCAGGCGTTGTAGTTAGCTGAATCAGAGACCCGGGATTAGCCTGATTGAACATAAAACACATGGATGGCAAAGCAACATATGATTCTTGAACTGTCCCAAAAAAAATTTCGAGAGCCTTCTCTTTAGCAAACCATGCCTTCTTATAAGTCATTGCAATTCCATGCTCCCTACGCATGTCGGAAAGAATAGAATTGGGCGGGTACGACTTCGTTGTTGCATCACAAAATTTGTGTTTGACAAGCTCTACAATAATGTGGTACGTAGCTTGACGTGTTTGGCCTTGGCGCGCATCGATGGGGCATTGATGTTCACGATTGTACCTAGGGAAAAAAACACGTGAAGGATACCATTAGCATGCAGATTTTGTGAGGGTAATAACATGTATTAGTCTGTTAGCAGCTGACGTTTGGTACATAAAAGAACATAATGTCCTGAATAAGGCACTAACATGTTTCTGCATTAACAAATAAAGGCATTAACAGATATGATTTTCCAGTCATTAACATGGATTGGGAATAGACCTACGGCGTCGTTCAAAGTCTGTAAAAACCTAAAGTTTGTTAGCTAGCCGATCTTAATGACTTGAGAAGACTGTAGAAAGCTAACGTTTGATACTTAAAGCAAACATAATGTCCTGATTATGACGTAATCAGAATAAGGCATTAAGCAGATATAATTTTTCGCAGTCATTAAAAGTGAAAGGAAACGGACCTATGTTTTCATGAAAAGTCAGTAAAAGAGCTAAAGTATGTTACATAAGCGATCATAATGTCCTGATTAGTGTAAAAAAGAGGTGAGGTTTGAGAAATAATAAAACATAATGTCCTAATTCCGACGTAATAAGATTAGAGCAGTAACAGATAGCAATTTTTGAGTCATTAACATGGATTGGATACGGACTGAAAACGTCATTCTTAGTCAGTAAAAACCTGAAGTTTGTGACATAAGTAATCATAATGTCCTTATTAGTCTATAAAAGGGCATCAATAACTGGAAATCAACACACATCAGATAGACATTATAGAAACCAGATGCAAAAATAATTAAAAAATGGAGGCAGAACGCACCTACGAATCTGGAACATCTCAACACCTGGTAAACGCACATCCCGAACAGCCCATGTGCAACGAGGAAAATCCACACAGACAACATGAAGACAGGACTTTTTGGAGGTTCGGATCCGGTACTGGAACTGGTTAGAAATTGCTAACATCTTCAAATGGATATCAAGATCCTTTTTGCTGGCATAAATGGCATCAACAACAATTCTAGTTGGATCGAACCGAGATGTAACGTGCATCTCCTTCATTGTGGCAATGTCCTGCTCAGACATTAGATCACTAGACGAGTTGGATTGAAAGTAGTTACTACAATCAAGCTCATTAGTTTGGACATTATTCACAGGCATTTCATCTCCACGAAATGTGTCGAGTACAAAACCGGGGGAAAATTGCATTTGTGCTGGTATATCGCCTTCGTCCCAAATGCACAAGGTTCGGTTTGCTTCAAAATCAGAGAGAGACCCATCTGATTCTGTATCTTCGCATCCGCTTGAATTGGAGACGGAATGATTACAAAGAAGAGGCTGATGTAACTCCGAAAGGACTAAATCTCCTTCAGAAACGATATTTTCTGAAAAATTAGTTAATTCAACGCAAAAAGGGAATTCGCGTACACCACAGTGAATGATCTTCAACCGAATGTATGTGTAAAGGCTGGTATCATCGTCAATGACAACATGACTTGAACATGAATCAGAGATGTGCGAAATCTTAAAAAAGGAACTCCCATATGATGATGGGACCGTATTACGAATCACCTGCAGCAAGTCAGCGAATGATGCTTGATGCGGAATCTGAATCTCATATGCGTATGTGTAGGAGAAGACGCCATGAATGTCCCATTTGCCGTTGAATTGGAGCATAGAATGGATGGCAGCCGGTGTGGAGAAAACTGGGACAATGCTAGATACAGAAGCCAGCAATGAAGAAAACATCTTGGTGCGCTACTGGGATGGGCGGAAGAATTTCGTGGTGGCCGGAAGAAATGTAGGAGACGGAAACCTAAATCCATGGGAAGTTACAGAACTAGAGCGTAAGTGAAGGGATAATGGCTAGAAAGTGGGGGAAATTATTAATAATTGTCCTCTAAATATGCCAAGGAAATTTAAAAAAAGAAAATAAAAAATCTCAGCATTTTCGGCCCCAGAAGGGTAAAAATGGATGCACGCCCAAAAATAATTCCTATATAAGGAAAAAAAGATACAAGTCCTATTTAGGGAAAACACATATGTTTGAGTCCTAAATGGAACATGTAACGCCCTACAAACCGGCCTAGTTTTAAATAAATAAATATTATTTATTTATTGAGACTCATTATTTTTAGTAATCAATATTAAGATTTCCGATCTCTTTAAATGGCTTTTCAAAGCTAATGTATTTTAATATGAAAAGATGTTTTAATAACGGATCTCTCAACATTAATTAAATGAATTAATTAATGATTGGGGTGAACCCAGAAGTTTGAAAATAAAGTTCTTAGAAAAATTATTTGAACATATCATTAAATTTGCTTTGACTGTCTGATTCCAAAAATGTAAACGGTTTTCAATTTGGACCCGTTCAGGGGAAAAAGTACCATTTAGGTCAGATTTTACATAACGGAGTAAAATAAACATTTGTAACCCCATGTCCCTTGGTTCGGCCCCCTCCACATCCATCATGGTCCATTCAATAGCTTCTTTAATCTCCCATTAAAACACAATATAATCCCCAACCCCTTCCCTTCCTCCTTAACATTTTGTAATCCCCCATATCAATCAACATACACATTCACTCTCCATCTTCCTCATCCCCTTTGCATTTTCGGCCATCCAGTAGAAGCTCCAAGAGGTTCTCTGGTGAGTAGACGAGGAGGTTGAAGAGGAGGAGTTCACACGGGAAGCGTACGTTGTTCGTCGTCCATTGTTCGTCCGTTCGTCACATCTCATCAACCCGCGAACCCCTTCATTTAGAGGTGAGTAGTTGTCCCCTCTAATTCTAGAACATCAAGTTATAATCTATGTTGTTATATTCATACGAATATCGTACGCAACCTACGTAGAATCTATGCATGTTCGTAGGTTAGCCATCAAAACGTTCACTACGTAAAAATCGTATATATTGGCATAGGAATCACTAGGAATACATTCATAAATTTTTACATTATTGTTCTAAAAAGAATTAAGGCGTTAAGTTCACAAAACGGATCAAATCGAAGCCAAAGTTAGTGGACTGTCTACGGGACGGTCGACCGCCGCTAAGGACGGTGGACCGTTTCCCTTGACCGTCCGTCGACGGAAGACCGGGGTGGACCATCGGCATTCCAGACCTCCATAACGTAGCCCACAGTCGACCGCCGGTAGGGTACGGTCGACCGTTTCCCGGGCAGAATTCCGGGCAGGTTGTAGAATAAGCCCCGTTGACCATATTGACTCAGAATCTGATTGTATGTTTGCATGAAATGATAATCTTCATCATGTATGTTATTTAATTGATATATTCTTGGCGTTGACCAAAGGTAAATATATCAAGCATTCATCATGTTCATTCTAGATGCATGTACTAGGATCATCATCATGTGCATACCGCTGTAGGGAGGTCAGACTTTCGTGCGCCTACTACAGTGGGCCCGTCCAGGAACCTTTGGGATCCAACGGGTTTTCATCAGGTGGGCTTTGTGTACGTACATGGTAGTCAGGCTACGACTACCACCCAATTTTGCTAGTTCACTTGCAATGTTTTGTCGAGCCCGGGTCATTACCGGAGTGCAGGGGTGATTCTGTCAAGTGAGACTAAGTCAGGGGTGTCCCTAATAGCTCAAGTCATGCATCAAGTCATATTGTCATCATGTATGTTTCATGTCACGTCAACATTCAATGTGGTTGTCATCATCATGTATGATTCCCATCACGTCCATATTCAATGTGGTTGTTATTCATTTTGTTATGTGTAATAATATCCCATCAAGTGCAAATTAATAAGTTAGCAAAAATGTGGTTTTCCGTACGTTAAGTACAGGTATTTATATGTGTATAACCATATGGGTTATCACTTCATGTTCTTTTGCTAGATCTGTTGGACAATGTGCTATCATGAATATGTATTTTGCAATGTCTTTTGCCCATTGTCTTTTAGGTTTTGATAATGACAAAAGGGTGACAAAACATCATCATCATTTTGTACATCAAGGCTAAGAATCAAAGTTACAACAAGTTCATATCCGTCCGTGAAGAAGGGACTTGAGCATCGGTGGAAGGAACGAGACCGAAGAGGTTGTTTCCTTAGTTGGGTAGTGTTTTAGGTCTTAGATTATGTGTTAAAGAGTATGGCATCTCTAAGGTTCATTCCCTTATCATCTTACCTTTAAAACTCATTTTAGATCAGCCTTTGTGTGGGGAAGTTGCCTTTCTATTCGAATAATCTTTAGTTTATTCGAATAAGTCGTGATCTTTCCTGTTGCTGAAATCAACCTGATTTATTCGAATAAATCACCACTTATTCGAATAAGTCCTGGTTTTTCAACCTGATTTATTCGAATAAATCACCATTTATTCGAATAGGAACTGGTTTTTTCAAGCCACGCGATTGATCCAAACTATTCGAATAGTTCTTGAGTTATTCGAATAAGTCGACAGTTTCAACTACCAAACGGCTAGTTTTTTGAATC